CCCCTCCCAGAAGAGGGACTGTATTATCTTTGCCGAGGAAAGAGAACTTCAGTATTTGCAAATTCCTCATGAAAAGTCCCTCTTTGTAGAGAAGTTTTACTTGCTTGATTTCTTATATTAAAATACATGGAGAACAATCATCCCTCACTGGCTCATACATAAGGTAAGAAGGCCTTCGCCTCCTTCAATCCATTCTCAAAACAGTTGCCAAAGTAGTTCCATTAAATGTTGGTCAGTTCACGTCTAAACTCTGCTCAGAACCCTCCAATAGCTTTCCATCTAACTCTGAAGAAAAGGAGAGTCTTCAAAATGGTGCAACAGGACTTGGTCTTGCTGCCCCTCCCCTCCTCCCTGCTGCCTTCTCCTCCTCTTCTTCCCACCAGCCTCAGATCCTGGAGTCAGAACATCCTTATGCTCTTTCCTCTATCGGCACGTCTGGCGGCCTCGCTTCAGGCTGTTCTCCAAGTCGCCATCTCTTTGGAGCCTTCCCTTCATCTTCCTACCCCACACCGCGTCCCTTCACACACCTCGCCTTCTCTATTTCTCTCCACAGTACTTACTTTTAAACACACTGTATATTTTAGTTATTTATTTTACCATGTCTTCCCCGGAAGACAGGGATTTTTGTATGTTCTGTTTACTTATGTTCCCCCAGTGCCTAGAACAGCATCTGGAACATAATATGTGCTCAATAAATACCGCATGAATAAATGAGTGAGTGAATGAGTGTCTCACTTGAACCTGACTCACGTAGGTAGGAGGCTAATGACTGGACGTCACCACCTTCCACAACCTCTGCCCAGGCCGGTATGTAACTAGAGGCTCCCCCTTCAGGAAGGCGTGGGCGGTACAGGGTTGGTACTGCTGTACTTGGCTTTGCCTTTTGCTGGGATAATTTCAGTTTTCAGTTCATCTCTGTCCCTTGATGTCCAGAATATTCATTTCATGGTGATTTTTTAAAAAATAAAAGGTCTAGCTTCCGACATATACGCAATTATGTAAGACATACACTAAAATGATGTACTGAAACACCAGGACTAATGGGTGTCCAATAGGGTACTTCTGGTTGTTTAAAAAACATCTCTAAACTTCACCAGATTCCTGAAATAGAGTCCAGTGAGGACAGGTCAGGGTCTCAGAAAGACCACCATGACAATGAAATGGAGCCATTTGAGGTGATATCAGCGCACTTCCAGAGATATGCAAAATGTCCCTCACACTCCGATTCTTACAAAGTGTAGAGCAGGGTAAATCTCGGTGCCCCGGGAAGCTGTGAGGCAGGCTCTTCACTCAGGGGTCTACAGGTCAACCTGATTTCCTCCCGCAACTTTTCTGGGAACACATAATGTTTCTGTACACACGATCAGATTTCTAAAGGCATAGGGATCAGGAGACTCATTTAGGATCATTATCAATAAAATTAACCAGATTAAGCAAGTGGTTAGTGAGTTTATCATGAGGAAAAGTGGGATCATCTGGGCTCGAACTGTATTATTCCCAGGAATGTGGATATCTCCTCACACTGACTTTCAGAAAGCAGAATAAAACCAGTGAACCACAAGGACACTCAGCAACGTGCATGAATTTTAGCAATGTAATATTAAGAGTCCAAAAACAATATATGTAACATAATGTCCTCACTAGAAAATTGAACACCTAGATTTATAATGAAAGTTTTAGGAAGACACATAATTGCAATAAAACTATATGAGAAGGAAAGTAAAGAAATCATATACCTGAATTTAGTATGAAGGTTATCTTGAGTAGGAGAGCAGGGAAGTGGGGGGGGGGCAATAGGATTAAATGTAAGTTATTTTCAAGATTCTGTTTTGGGGGTGGGTTGACAGTTGCTTTTTGCATTATTGAAAGTAACTAAATAAAAGCAGACCCTGCACTGGTTAATGGACTAGCACCTCTGGGAGTGAAGGGTAAGTGGGGTCAGAGAGCGCAAGCTGCACGAGCAGGCGGCCCCGCCCTCCTGGCACCCCCACCAGCTGCACCTGTTCCCCGCCCTCTGCCTGCACCTATGGCCACACATGTGGGCTCACAGAGCCAGACGGAAGAGGAGAAGTCTGAACTTCGGATTACGGGTGGATGGACGTGGATCGATCACGTGCGAGCCACACAGATGGTGGCGGCACTTCAGCCATGTCCCAGTGTGGCTCTGAAAGACACCGCAAAGGGAAAAGGGCAGAGGTGCGAGCAGCACCCCCGTCGTCCACTTTATGTGGGAGGAAGAGGCAGGTATATATTATATTTAGTGAGTGACAGCTTCTGCTCATGGGGACCAGACGAAGCCACTCTGGGCTGGAGATGAAAAGGAGGCAGGACCTCATAGGAGTCCAGGGCATTTATCGTAGGGGTCGTTAACCCCTCTGGAATTACAGAACCAAAAATAAATCACAGTATCATAACTGATACTCAGTGATGTGTCAAAGAAAAGTTGAATTATGTTTATTATATTCTATTTAACAAAACAGAGATTTAATACACTTTCACCAGGAATTGTTAAATAAAAAGATTTAGAGTACTTATCTAGAACATTCATTTCAGTAGGAGTTGTCATCACTCCATGGTTCTAGAACAGTGAGACAAACTAAGTGTGTAGCCAGCATGAGACTCATATTTTAAATCTCATAAATACTGGCATACTTGATACATTAAAACCAACCACTTTACTATATCAAGCAGTAAAAGTCACATAAATATAATCCTACGATGAAGTGAACATAACATCCTCATTCACATTCACCACAAAGCTTCATGTAGCATAAATTACAATATAAACAAGTAATGTCTTACTTTACAATGCCTTAAGTTGTATGAGCTAAAATGGGAAGCTTTACCCAGCACTTTGGCAGCCTTGAGACTGACCCAGCACGTTCCTAATAAGCTGCACGACCCTGTGGACACTGCATGACAGGCAGGGCCAAGTCCCCTAGCCAGGCAATGCGGCCTTCAGCTGGAAACAGGCAGATTTGGTAAACAGTTACTAGAAGAACACATTGCCACAAATCCTAGACTGCTGCAGTCTCATAGTGATTAAGGTAAAACCAACCAGAGGAAGAAACAAAACTCGCCATTATTTTACAGTCCTTACTACATCTTGTACCATTTTGTGAGAATTTCGTATTATTTCCACTTTGTAATGCCACTGAAGAGAAATGAAGCAACCCACCCTTTCTATGTCCTCCAGAAAGAATGACGTCATCACTGTCATCACCCTGGATAGAAAAGGGGACCTTCCACACCAAGGGGAGGCAGCAAGGAGTGTGCACGGGGTTGGATCACAGGCAAACCTCTTGTCTCTCCCTCCTAATGTTTTGGTTCCACCTAAGCCTTTGATCCAATTTAGGGAGCGACCGCATCACCACAAAGCACAGAAACAGGGGTAGGCAACAGGTAATTACTACTTAATACTGAATTGAAAATAAAAGAACTGCACTGAAAAACACTTCTAAATTATTTTCAGCATTCTAAACCTCTCATCCATTGACTTAAAAAAATGTATCTATTAATTAGAAGTCTGGAAAAGAAGACTGTCTCTTCTAATCTTTGCACAAAAATTTCCCTAAAATACTTCATATTATAATATAGAATTTGCATAACTTTACTACTTTTCCTTAGGATGAAAAGATGACTTAAATAACCATTAGTTTTAACACTCACAATAATTTTTGATATGTAAACTGTAAGCTTTATCATAAAATAATTGAGAAATTTTTAAAAAGTGAGGAAGCCAAAAATAATTTGAATTAATACAAGTTTAATTTCAAGGTTACATCTAAATGAAGGGATGAATAAAGCAGCAGTTATAGCCTCATTAATAAAAGGGAAACATTGGCAATTTAAATGCATGCAATTAGACTGATATGCTAATTTAAATTTCATGTATAAGTTTAACTTAAAAGTATATGGATAAATATTAATTCTGAAAATAATACTTGTATACATATAACAACATTTAACAAAAATTTTACTAACTTGCAAAGAAATAGTATTAATTTATAAAGGTAATTTTTCCATTCAACTGTTTAAGTCCCTGTTCCAACAAAAAAAATGCCATAATGAACAAATAATTACGATTCAATTTAAAGTTCTATCTTTAAACTCTTCATAATCTTCTTTGGTAAACAGATCCAAAGATAGGTTAGTCCTAAATAAAAGATGACAAAATTGAATCTTATTAATATAAAATGTCATGATCAGCAGTCACTAAAACATTTTAACATTTCTAAGACCCTAAAGCCAGTTAGCCCTCCCTATATTTACTGTTTCGATAACTTTTATGTTCTCTAGTTGACCATAAAAAGCTTCCAATGGACTCGATGCGTAATTCATATTTTTCTTCTCCACTCCAACTCCTGCTAACAATATTGGTGACTTCAACAGCTCCATTTACACGAACTGTGTCACAGAAACACTGTCACAGGCCTTTATCTCCAGGCCACCTCAGCCACTCATGAGGTCATTGCCTGGACACTGTTGTCTCTTGGAACTTTGGCTTTACTTCTAGGTGCTGGTGGCTAGCTGACACATGTCTATACTCCTAATTTCTGTACCCCTGCACTCACTGAGGTCATTGCCAACCCCTTGATCTCCTTCAAGCTTCTGCTCCTGAGTTAGCCCTCAGGACCCGCTTTGAAACTGAGAATTCCTCTGCATCTCAGACATTGCCCAGACATCCCGGTCATCTCCTCTCCTCCATCCTCACACTGAGATTGTCACCTCCTGCTAGAGCCACACGGGACTGTTCTGCAGTGTAGATATCACACCAGCTCCAATACAACACTGCCAACTGCTTGCTT